GTGTTCAGCTTATTATTCATCTCCTCAAACTGCTGGTCCATGATGTCCCCAGCTTCACTCTCTGTCTCGCTGCTGGCGCAGGCTCTGAGGATCAAACAGCAGAGAAACATTAGCAAGGCAAGGCAAGGCACAGCACCAGCTGCGCTGGAAAAATGTGAGGGGCTGAGAAACGAATCTGGACCCAGGACAGGAACCCCCAGCCTAAGGTGTGTTCTGATCTCCTGGGCAGACCAGTCCCCTTCCATGAGGCACTGCTCAGGGCTCTGGCCACATGACTCCTACTGATGGGAACCTGGAACCAAAATCCCACCACTTGGTACAGGCAATCCACCCCGTCTCCATCCTTGGAGTCTCACTGAGGCCCTCAGACTTTGCTCTTATCTTGCACTTCCCAGCAGCAGAGCTCAAAGCGCTTCACTAAGCAGGTCAGTAACATTCCCCCCAGATCACAGACAGGGAAACTGAGACAAAGAGCAGGGAACAGGGTTCTCTTCTGAGTCCCAATCCAATCTTCTACCCACTAGGAAACACTGCCTCATGGGAACTGCAGCCAGTGGGGGCTTCAGTCTGCTACTCAGGCCTATTACAAGCTGCAGTGCCATCAGCTGGCCTTGTCTGGGTCGGACACCACTGCCTACTCCCTATAGCCATGCAGGTGTCCGTGGAGACCTGCCAAGTGCCTTTCTCATGCCTCCCTGCTAGGCCCATCATCCCTCCCTCTGGGTTTTTATTAATAAAGACTTTGGAGTGAAAAATAAGCACACAGGTGGAGGCTGACGCTGGCTGACTGGAAGCAGAGAGAAGGGGGAGGAGTGAACTTCCATCCCAGCTGCCCCCTCCACCTTCTTGGTGCAGGCCAGACCCGGATGTCACTGCCACCTCCGCTGACCCTGGCTGAGCCCCAAACATCAGCTCAGATGGGAGACTTCTTCCCTCCCCACCTCCCATGCGTCCTTTCCTCCCCCATCTCATTTCTTCTTTTTCCAATTCCTCTCTTTTTCCTTCTGTCTAGCACAAGGCTGGCTTAGTCAGCCAACACGGTATATTACAACATTGCTGCAAGCCTCTGACCAAAAGGAGGTGGCAGAAGCAATGTCCTACACAATCTGGTACATGTTTGCCAGGTCTCACAGTGGCTGTAAAACCAGTACCAGGCCTGTATTTTTCCAAGCAGTGTGGTTGTAAGAGAAACTCAACACAAGAGACAAAAGCTGGTTTTTTTCCCCTTCCCCCTTCCTTTACCCTTCCCCTTCTCCCTTTCCTTTCCTTATTCTGTGTGTTTATCTTGTTTTGTCCTCTCAGGAAACAGCATTGGACTTGGCAGCTCTAGCCCATCTTAACTAACCTCTTCTCTCGTCAGATAAAAAAAACAGTTCTTACTGTCTTTGATACCATCTAAACAACTGTCCAACAAGGGGTTGTTCTTTTAAAAACTTACTCCAGCTAAAGGCAAAGGGAAGAAGGGAAGCTGGTAAAATTAAAGCCTGGCTTAATACTTTACATTTCAAATGTCTGGACTCTTTTTTCTGTCTTTCCTGTGTCTTCAATAAAAGCTGAAAAGTACTTTCACTGGTGTTCGTGCCATGGTACCAAGCAGACTGAGGTCTCTGGTTATCAAACCCCAAACCTAGAACTGTTTAATGTTGTTTAGTGACTGACCTAGATGTTCTAACTAAACACAGCATCTCCCACAGTGTGGAGGACACAAGACCCACACACACTCCCCCGCAGCAGAGTGCACTGTGTCATGAGACAGAAGGTCTGAGCAGCATCCCAGATTGTCCAGAGTGCACTGTATATCTGTGCATTTCACCATTTTTGTTACTACCCATGGCCTCAAACCCTGACCAGCAAAGGCAACTATCACTCATGTAGTTCACTGCGAGGTCACTGCAGCTGCACATGGACACTCAGCAGAGCTGCCAACAAAGCCAAATCTCAAGGGACCACACTGCTTTCCAGACTGAACGTGCCAAATCCTTCAGACTGGACGGGCGACGGAAACAGCAGTAATTGTGCAGACATCTGGCATTTTTTCATTTTCAAGCATTTGACTTTGTCTCCTAAAGAATACTCTTTGAACACACATTTTGGTATATACTTTCCTAAGGTGTGGTGTGTTTGTGTAAGTGCACGGAGGGAGTGGATTTAGGAAAGGTATTAACAAGTTACCTTATGCGCAATTGTGGCACCCCCTGTCCATATGACATTCTTTGCACAGATGTTACACACAGAGCTGCCCAAATCTTGTTAGCTATGTGCATGCCTTCTGGAGTGGGCCAGTCACTTGGAACATAGATTGTCTGGTGACTGACAACAGGGAGTTGTTCACTGCATCTGCCCCCTGGGGTTCGCCACAGAAATGAAACTGACTGTGAAAGAAGCCAGGAGAGAGGCTGTGCCAACCCATGTCCCACTCATGGAGCTTTGCAAGAACAACCACCCTGGTCTTTACGCAAAACACTATGTCAGTCCCTAACTCTGCCAAGCATGTGCATTTGTGCAGACGCATGTGTGGTGTGTGCAAGGCATATAAAAACCCACCTGGAAGGTATTTTGATGGTGGACACACAAGCTTATCTGTGCATGTGTGTGTGTGCATGGGAATCGCTCTCTACTCTTTTGCTTTTCTTCCCCTACCCCAATTTTTCTCTCCCCCTGTACAGGTTACATAGCAGTAGCTCTAAGGACTAACCACAACCCAAGGAGGAAAGGTACTTTGTGAAATCTGCCTGCAGTCAGAGACTCAGGGGGTCTTGCCAGGCCCAGTCATAACTGAGCAGCACTATTACAGTGCCCCATGCTGCAGTTCCATGGGAACTGGCTGTACACCAATGCCTGCAGGAACAGAGCGTAGGAGTCTCTTCTCTCTGCACACATCCCTGCTGCATGAAGTTGCGTCCTCCTCACTGAGCAGGATGGCTCTGGCTTGTGCTTTCAAGAAGGCCTAGTTCATGCTCATTTTGCTGTGGTCTGTCTACACTGCAGCAGTGAATGCATATGAAGTCTTGGAGAGACTAAAATGCTCAATAACCAACCACTCTGGGGAGGCCAGTTACTCATCCATCCGCAGAGCAGCTGGAAGTTGCTCAGAACAGCAGAGCTGACATTAGGAAAATATTTATTGTGGCCAATAAACATTTGGAGCCAGGGCTGCGAGCCTTTGTAGCTTCTGCATCTCTCTCCTGCTCTACTTCCTGAGTCTTCCTCACCAATTAGAGTCCTTCATCAAGGAGCTACATGTCCCTGAAGTGCTCACACTTCAAACACTGTTTTTGCAAAAACAAACCTTTCTCCAGAAGTAAGCAGTCTGTTTGCAGCCTGCTTCCAGCTGCAGGAATAGGTGGCACTGCAGGCTCCTTCATGCCTCTCTGAAAAGGATTACTCTCAAATAATATGCTGATCAGTCACAATACTACAGGGAACAAAATACAGGACTATGTAGCACTTTAAAGACTAACAAGATGGTTTATTAGATGATGATCATCTAATAAACCATCTTGTTAGTCTTTAAAGTGCTATATTCTCAAGGCTAAGCGTGTCACACATGCTCTGTGCTGCTTCATTTCAGTGCATTGCATAGCTGCAATGACTCCTAGATGTCTGTAGTTTGGAAAACAGTGCTGCACAAACACAGGTGAATCTTATATTATCAGGGCTGAGATTGCAATGTCTGGTTTGACTGGTGGCCTTATGTGTTCCAAGTGCAAATGCAAGTCCAGAACCAGAGAGCTCTCTCAGCCAGCAGACTTGGAAGGCTGGAGGATGTGAGCATGAGGTCCACAGGTCACAGCCCCAAATTCACCATTTCCAAGGCGATGGAGGTGGCTCAGAGGAATGGTGCGGTTATGATACCGATTAAAATGTTTTTAAAGTCCTTTGAGGTGACCGGTGCTGTTTGCACTTTTAGAAAGTTCTGGTGGGGGCACTGTGTAAACTAATAAGCTAGCTGCTGTTTATATTAGAGTAGGATCTGCTAGGTTGGCTCAGGCCCAAAGCCCACCTAGTTCAGTATCCAGTTTCTGACAGAGACCAGAACCAGATGCTTCAGAGGAAAGTGTAAGAAAAAAATCCCACAGAGGGCATATGTGGGGTAATCTGTGTCTTCTACCTCCCCCTCATCCTGCCCTTACACACAAAGCGTATGTCTAGACCAGTGGTCCCCAACCGTTTGGGGTTGCCGGGCGCCAGGGGGCGTGGCCGGCGCTAGCGCTTTCTCCCCCCCCATGCGCCGCGGGGGGTGAATCCATGGCGCCCCCGGGGCCGGCGCTCACAGTGCGCCACGCGCCCGGGGCCAGCTCCGGCACCACGCATGCGCCACGTGCCCGGGGCCAGGCCAGCCCCGAGCACTTGGCGGGCGCACACAAATGCCCGTGTTGGGGACCACGGCTCTAGGGGGTCACCATGCTGCCTTTGGTCACCAAAAGTCACTTTGTAAAACAAGGAAGAGCAACTGATTTTGTGCCTCAGACGGAAAATGTGCTAGGACAAATGTTCAAAATAAAGAGCTCACAAACCTTGCTAACACATGCCTGGCTGCTGGCCTCTCTCAGCATCTCTGCACTAGCCAGAGGCTGCCATAGCAATATACTTCCAGGTCAGTGCTCTCTTCACCACGCAAATTCTATTATCAGCCCAGTCCAAAGCCAAAGCAACCGCCAAAAATGAGGAGCTGACTGAACAGCAGCACATGACTGATAGAACTGGTTTCCCAAAAGTTTCTCCTTTAGGTTTTATTTCTGAGCTGCAGACAGAGGGGATCACACCCATAGCCCCACAAGCAGCTCTCAGTGCCTATCCCAGGAAGGGGAGAACTCCTGGAAGAAGACAGAAACCTGAATTCATTTGCTCAGCACAGCAGGTCCTGTGCATCCTTGGGAATCAGCTGTCTAAACAGGAAGGCAAGCACATCTCAAAATCCTTTTAACTGGATGGTTTGCTGTGAGGATACTATATAATGTAGACCTGACCCTCTAGCGCCCCACAATTAGGCACTTTATTCACAAAAGGGCAGCTCCTTGACTAATGCAGAGGGATGGGGTGTGTGTTCCCGGAGGCTGCTGGGTAATCCCATCCTAGCACAG